ATTTACAACATTTAAAGGAGGAATTTCGCTTGGTGATATTAAGACTGGATAACTAATATCTTTGAATTTCGTTTCTACTCCTGTTATAACATATATATATATACAAAGTAATCAGGAATGCTACTCGTTATTTTTATTTCGTATTATCATGAAAAAATACTAAGAAGTTTGTTAACTATTCTATTATTAGTTATACGTATCAGAGTATAGATTCATTGAGAACCCCGACATTCGATCGTGATTCGTGTTCCTTACATTTCTGAATTTGCACTAAATTAATCTTATCAGTAAAAGGCTACTGTGCAAAGATGTCAATATTTATATAAAGTAAACTAACTATTAACGCTAACGATATGTATGAAATTATAACTTAGTCACACAATTAGTTAACTACAAATACTTACTCTTGAGTCATTTGTAGTTTATAATATAGACAAATTTTTATCACCACACTTTCATTCGATATTACATTAGAGTTATTTCTTATTACTCTTGTACGATTATGTTAACATATTACACAATACCAACCGATTTCTGTATTTCCGATGACAAGCTTCGCTTTCGGATAGTCTCTCTTTAGTGATAGTAATTCATCAAGTGAACATGGTCGAAACCATGTAATATTCTTGCCGTGAATTTCTAGACTTGTTGTTGATTTGTCTTTTAATAGCTACAGGTAGTTTTATATTATACAACATAAGTCTTATATAAACAAAAACTATAAATAGTAAAATAGTGGATAGATAATAGCCATTTATATCGATTTTACACTATAGTGTACAATAGGATAATGACTAGTATATCTCTAAATAGGTATTACGATTATATTTATTACCAATAATTCTGGAGGAAATATTATATCTTGAGAGGGGTCATAATCCATGAGATCTGAAAGCTTATATAACTTGCAATCTAAATCGTTCTACAGATAAATCAAGATAACTTAACTTAATTCTCTAAGTGATTAATATGGAGATACGTTATGAGTATTGAAAGAATTTACCAATAAATGTTTTACTTAAAATAAGAAGTATGCATACCATACTGTCTATTTAACAAGGCGTCTACGAATAATATGATGATTTAAAATAACAATCAAGTTAAATATTACCTCTTGGGCTTGTGTTTCAGCTTCTAGTAGCTCTTTCTTGCAACAGTAATTCTAACCCGGTTATTTTTTTTGTAATTTTTATAATAAACATAAGTAAATACTGTATATGAAGTGTATTATTACATTACATACTAACGCATTTTATAGTAACAAGCTATAGATTATTAAGTAGACTTGTCATGATTTATATTACAGAGAGACTACAACAATATAACGACTATTAGTGAAAAATTAAAGTAAATATCATTTTAGTATACGTTTGATAAGAAATAATTATACCTTGGAAAAAGATTTAAATCCATCTAATATAGGTCTGTATCCTGTACAACGGCATAAATTACCTGTAATGTTGATGTTAAAATTATGGTGATGTATCGAAATGAAAACGAAATTAAATATTAATATATAAATATTTTAAGTAGTCTAATATCAAGGTTTCGATGTGTACAGTAAATTAAACTGTCTAGATGAATATCGCATAAAATCTACATATCTATTCTTTTATATCGATTTAATTGTAATGTAATTAACTTTCTCTAAAACTTTTCAGCTTTACACACACGTACTTTCACATGCGTCTTCGATATCTTCTTCAGTAGGTTGAGAATTATTACGAAGTAGTGTATACATTGACATTACAAATCCAGGTGTACAAAATCCACATTGAGATCCATGAGCTTTAGCGATACGTTCCTAGTAATGTAGTATTATATCGATTTGTTCTTATTAACTTAATATCTTACGATTATCGTACTTCTATTATGTAAAACTGGCATAAATTGAATATAATTAAAATAAAATATAGTATGAAATAACTAACACAAACTGTTATTGTATATAATTTGCTTATTGACGATAAGATAATGTATAGTTAAGAGTTAGAAATTAATAAAACCTGAACAGGATGAATTTTATTTTCTGTACTTCCAATTCCCTCTACAGTAGTTACTGCAGCATGATCCAAAGTACACAA